GTCTGAATCACATGGAGATAAACTTGATCATTCCATGATGAGTTGTAAGAAGAAATCACTTTTTCTCAAAAAAGAAATAAGTTCGGAAGATTTCTAAGCAAAAAAACATTTAAAGATTGAACAAACTTCTGATAAAGTGATAAGAAAATATTTAATTTTGTTATAATTTACTTCGCTATTATTAATATTTAGTAAATTTGTTAGTAATGTAAGCAGATCTTTTTTCTTTGAATCTTTTTTGACTTCAGAAGGACAAGGAATCAAACTGTGAAAGCTTTCTTGAACACTGCAAGGAAATCATCTTCAGCATTTTTTTTGGCTTTACAAAAAAAGTCCCAAAGCATTTTATCACAGAAGTGATAAAAAATAGTATGATCAAAATTTTCAATAATTGATGCTTTTTCTAGGTGTTTTTGAAAAAATACCAAATTCTTTTAGGTATTTACGATACTTTTCATTTGCTTACTGCTATCTTTGCTCATATTCGGTATTGAAGTTTGGTACTCACTTGAATATGACATCGAAAATCGCATCGCACGAAGTCGAGTGATTATCGTTCTGGTCAGTGCTCAGCTCAATTATGCACAAAGCATGCTTGTGTGGATTATCAATATTGTTTCGCTGTAGAAATTAAATTTTTCCACACTTTTTACAATTTTTGCTTGTATGAACTTGCATTTAAATGTTTCGCAGGCTTTGTTGCAATCTAAACTGAAAAGTTATCCATGAAAACTGAAGCATTATATAAATAGATTCTTGGCTTTGCCGAAGAGCTGAGCAGTTGACTCCAAGGTTGACCTTGAGTGGCTGTTTTCAAGAAACATTAAATGAAGGGTAAAAGAAAAAAGTTCTCACGCACGATAAGAAGCGACGTGAAGTAATCGTGATTGAAGTTTACATCACTAGTCAAGACACGTTGACAGCAGTCGAGACCGATAAAAAGCGAAAATATGACCCACTTGCTAATAAGCTTGGGTGAGAGATGAAATGCAGGACCAAAATAATTCCTCTGTGACTTGCAATGAGATTGTAACGAACTTCCACAAACGCTATGCGAATGAGATCAGTATATCTGATCACGTCGAGACATACATCTAATCGGTAGTTATCAAGAGAACGCTCGAAAGCATCTCATTGGGCAATCGATATGGATTCCACGAGGACGAAGTGAGAACGATGAATACAACAAATCTAAGCTTGGGACAAGTACTGCCAGAATGCCGGAATGAGATCCAGCGCCAGAATCAACATATATATATTTGCCAATATATGAAATCATAAATTAAAATTTTCCAAATTTGATCAATCTATTCTGACTATCTATTGTGGCATGTGCCACTTTTGAATTAAGTTTCAATACTTTTCAAAAACCAAAAGTCAAATTTGACAAAGGTTATTTTTTATTATTTTTAAATTTAATTACTTATTTCTTTTGAAATAAATCACTGTAATGTTTGCGACGTTTTATTTTTATTTATTACAATAATAAAATTAAGTAAATTTTGTAAAATCAGTGTTTGCAGCGAAAAATTGCTGCAAACACTGATTTTGCAAAAAAAATAACTTCTTTAATTTTATATTTTCTTTATTCATATGAATGATCAGTTTCTTCAGTGCTATTATTGCGGTACTTTAGGTGATGGCAGTGATTCAATCATCTATATTAATGGCATTTACAATCA